GCACGATTGGCTGGTGACTCGATGGCTGACTGTAGCTTGAATTTTAAATTATTGATTGATTGTCTGGCACGATGCGTTCGCTCGCGTGTAGGCCAATCGATATCCTACTGAGAGCGCAGCTGCTGCTTGTATGCTAGCTGTTTGGTCCCTACGTCCTACGCGGTCAGTGTCTGCATGAGCAGAAATCCCTTACTCCCCGCATATCCGCAGAGTGGTCGCTATCTGGCTAGACGCCTTGCAAAGGACGAAGGGATATAATACCACCACCTGCATGATCCGAAAGTTTAATCTGTATCCAGTTAGTTTCAAATAGTGGCTTGTACCCGTTAACCACGTCCCACATCCTGTCAGTTACGAAGCAATCATTCCAGCCCCAAGCTTCTTCATTTTTCAAAAACCCAATTACCTGAATAGCACCAGATGTTGTCCTGACAGTCTGCAATTTCGTTAGCTGATAATAGGTTGCATAATTTTTTATCCGTGTAATGATTGGGCCAACGTTAATTTAGTCCCATGAAACATGTGGGCTGGGTCATTTATCAAATGTAATGTAACTGCATTTTTACTGATACATTTGTTCGTCGAAACGCCCACGAACATTAAATGAACCAAGCCCGTGAAACGAATACGACACGGGGAGATTATTGTAGGATAACAGAGTTTACTTCTTTCACTAAGAGTTGTTATTGGTCGATTCAGCCGTAACTCCAACCTATTGGACACGTCTTTACAAGCACTAGTTTCTCACACGCCATCTCACTGCAAAACAGAAAAAAGGAAAGTCGTTGTCGTCTTTCAGCTTACCTTACTTACCTCTGAAGAATTCAAAACTAGTTTGACCAATCAACGCGAGACGTGAACTGCGCCAGATACTACCTTTCACCGGTTGGCTACGTTTGCCAACTTCGGGCTGATCCAATTAGCGAGCCTCGGAGGATCAAGGTAATCAGTACGGTCATCCTACCTGCGCGAAACAAAGCTATGCATTTTTGGGAAAAAATTATTTCACGACCGACAGCTACTTCAAGTCTGTATTTCAGTATCAGACATGATTTCGGGAGCTTGCGACTGCGCACTATGACACACCAAAGGAACAGCTACCAGAGCTTTGTCAGCCTTCACTGGAAACTCGGGGTTTTCTGCCGTCAGCCCAAAACGCCGGCGATTGATTGAAGCCCAGATGTTTCTGTCATCATATGACCAGCATTGCTTTTCTCCTATTCGCGCCACAACTATTAAATCAGTGGATCCACCAACCTGCACGTTAATGGGGGGATTTCTTCCTTTCATCCTGCTAGTGCATAAATGACGACATCCACCACAGGCCCCACGGAATGGACAGAGCACGGTTCATTTGCGCGTGCCATAGTTCATAGTGAGGTGGACTTGCGTAGCATCTATCTCATTACCTCTCCAATTTTACGACGACCAGGGCTGGGAGCGGGTGAAGATGACAACGTTAAATGGTCTATCTACGCGTGCCACACACAAGACTTGCTTCCTACTACCTGTGCGGGGCCCCCTTAAGGGCGGTCCGGATACAACGTCGGTGAGAATACCAGAGGCCATATTAGTTAGGAGCCATAGCAACCTCATTCTATGTTTTTCAGGATCTCTAAGTTTGGTTTATGTAATACTCTACGACAAACTCCTAAAGCCATACTTCACGGGTGCGCTTATTTTGTTTACAGCCCTCCATACAATCGTGTTTCGTTGCAAACAAAAGTAGACTGGACCGCTGACATCCGTCTAAAAATCCGATGGAATTAGATGTCGCCTTTAGCATTGTGTCACCCTATGACTCCCGGAGTGGGCGCAGAACCGGTGACTTGCGCGTGAACTATTTTATAGTAAGGCGGACATACGCAGCACATACCGCCCTCTCTCCCTCCTTCTCCGCCGATCTTCCTTTGATAGCAAGA